ATTATTTACGTTTTTTTTAGCAAAATATTTTAAAGTTTAATAATTATTTTATTTATATTGTTAGTAAGCAACTTTATTATACTTATACTAGTTAATAATAAACTATATAATACTTTAAAGTGCTTTTTTATTTAAAGCTTACTTTTTATTTTTAGTTTTAATTTATAGTAGTAGTTTTTTTATATTAAACTTTTTTAAATTATTTTTTAAAAATAAATTTTATAAGCTAAAATTAAAGCAGTTTTTTTTATTAATTTATTAGCTTAACTTTAAGTGCTTTTTTATTAAAGCAAGCTTATTTTTTAATATTAAAGTTAATAGTTTAAAGTTAGTTATTATGTTTTTATAAATTTAATTAGCTTTTTTAATAGTATTAAAAAACTTATTATTTTATTTAAAAAAACCTTTTTTTTATAAGTAAATTAGTTTAATTATTTTATTAAAAAAAGTTTTTAATATATAATTTTAAAATATAGTTTTAAACTATTAAATAAACTTATTTAAGTTTAGTATTTTTATAATATACTAAGCTATATTATTATAATATTTTAATTTAAGTATTTTATAAAAATTATAATATTTTTTTATAAAATTTTTAAATTTTTTTTTAATATAGCTTTATAGCTTTATTATATATTTTAAAGCTAAAGCTATTTAAATTAAGCAAGCTTTTATTAGTACTATATTTAAGCTTTATTTATTAATAAAAAGCTTACTTAATTAATATAGTAATAGTTTTTTAAAAAGTTTATAGTATAAGTTTAAAAATATAAATAAACTTAGCTTTATTAAAAAAAAAATTTAAACAAGTTTTTTTTATTATAAGTTAAAAGTTTATTTAGCTATATTAAGTTAACTTTAGCTAAAGTAATAAGTTAAAAAAGCTATTTAAATATATAAGTAAATTATTTTTTTATAGTTGCTAATAAGCTTTTATTATTATTATTATTACTAAAGCTGCTAAAAAGCCTTTATAAAAGTTTTTATAAAAGTTTTTATAATAAAGATAATAGCTAATAATTACTAAAATTATTATTAAAGTTATTTAAATTATTATTATTTAAAGCGCTTAAAAATATTTTTTTTAGTTTGCTTATAAAAAAAAGCTAAAAGTATATTATAAAATGCTATGCTTAAGCTTTTTTTATAATTTTTTAAGCTTATATAGCTTAAAAAGCTTTTAAAGTAAGTTATTTTTAAATATAAGCTTTTAAGCTAAAATATTTAGTTAATAAGGCTTATAAGCTAAAATAGCTAATAAACGCGCTAAAAAAGTACTTTTTAGCTTATTTATTAATAAATTAATATTTATTAGTTATTTTTAGTTTTAATAAAGTTATTTTTAAATTATATTAATTATAGCTTAAATATAAGCTTATAAGTTATTTAATTAAAAAAAGTTTATATAAAGCTATTATTAAAAGTTTTAAATTTATTTACTAATTTTTTTAGCATAATTATTTAAATTATTAATAAGCTTATAATAATTGCTTTTTTATTTTTAAACTTTTTAATAAAGTTTTAGTAAAGCTTATTAATAAGTTTAAGCAATATATTAAAAATTTTAAATAGCTAAAATATAAATTTTTTAATTTTTTATAAATAAAATAATAATAAAGTATACTTTTTAAGCAAAAATATTACTTTTTTTTAATTTTTTATTAAAAAAATTATAGCTAGTTTTTATTAATTAAAAAGCTATTTTTATAAATTTTTATTATAGTATTATAAAAGTTTTAAACTTTGCTATATTATTAAAATAATTTAAATTTTTTAATAGTTTTAAAAGCTTAAACATTATAAGCTAATTTTTAGCAAATATAAATTATATTTTTTATATAATTATAAATAATAAAAGCAACTTTAAAAAAGTGTTTTAAAGTAATATTAAATATAAAAACATTTTTATTTATATTATTTTTTAAAAAATATTAAAAAAATCTAAAGTATTATATAATATAAAAGCTTAGCTTATATTAAGCATAAAACTTTTAAATAAAAAAGCTATATTATTTAAAGTTTAAAGTTTAATAGAAAATTGTTTTTAAATAAACTTTTATTATTAATAAATAAGTTAATAAAAAAATAAATATATATATTAATAAAAGTAGTTTATTAATTAAAATATTTTTTTAATAGGTAAAAAACTTAGTAAAGCAAGTAATATTAAAAAAGTAGCTATATATAAAAAAAAAGCGCATTAAAAATAAATTTTAGTTTATTATTAAATATAATAATAAAAGCTTAAAAAAAGTAATTTAAATATATAAGTTATTAAAAAATAATTTAATAATACAATACTTAATAAAAGATTTTTTAAGTAATAAAAATGCTTAATAAAGTTTATTAGCTAAAATAATAGTTTATATAATTAAAAAAAGTAAAAGTAATTATAAAAATTATAAATTAAAAAAAATAAAAATAAAAGTAATAAAATCTTTATTACTTATAAGCTTTTAAAGTTTTAAATTAAAATTAATATTATTTTTAAATAAAAATTTATTTAAGTTATTATTAAATAATTTTTTAAATTTTAATTTATTAAAGTTTTTAAATTTAAAGTTTTTTAAAAAAAAAAAATTTTTATTAAAAAACTATGCTTAAGTAATTAATATAATAATTAAAAGCTAAAAAGCTTAGTTATAAAAGTAGTTATTATTAGTAACTAAAGTTAAAAAAAAAAGTATTATTAGCAATAGTTTTAATAAAAAAATTTAAAAATATAAATAATATATAAAATAAAAAACTAAAGTTTTATAATTTAAGCTAAGTAAGTTAAAGTTTTTTTTAAAAAAAATATAAAATTATTTATAATAAAAAGCTTAATATAGCAACTTAAAAGTAAAAATAGCTTTAATTTAATTTAATAATTTTATATAAGCTAAAAAGGTTTATAAAAAAAAAGTTTTTTTTTAAGCTTTTAAAAAAATATAAGTTTATTTATTTTTATTTTTAGTTAAAAATTAGCAGTTTTTATTTTTTTTATATAAAAAAAGTCTGCACTTTATATTTATAAGTGCATATAATATAAAACTAATAAGTTAATCTTATTTAACCCCTTTATTTAAAGGGCTGTCTCTAACACTTATAGCCTTCTAATTAGCTAGGTCCTATTACCTAAACGTCCTGTGTAACACTATAAATGTCGGGAACCAATATACACCTGCTTTCCCAGACCCACTGTCGGACGGGAAGTCGACGCCCGGTATATCTCTGAATGCTTCGATTTGTGCCGCTATATATATAAAAACAACAAAGTTAAGAATCAGTAAGTCACGAAAAAATGATTTAGGTTAAGAGGGGGGGGGGGGGGGGTTGAATTTCCTCTCTTCGATTTTTGACGGACGAACCTAGAGCAGGCCACTGGAATCGAGGCCAAGATGTATGTACGCTTGAGGTATTACCCCAGTAGGAAGTATCCCAAGATATATTAGCCGATTCGGCGACATTGTTATCAGGAGGCGAAAAGTTGACAGCCTTTTTTTTGGGGGGGTTTTTTTTTGGGGGGGTTTTTTTTTTTGGTTAGCCACCCAGCCTGTCCAAGTCATCAACAAAAGAAAATCCAAAATCGAAGAGAAAGAAACAAACAAACAAACAAACCTTTTTGAAATACGGCAATAAACCCTCCCAAGACCAAAAAGAAGAAGAATTATTCTCCTCGGCGAAAAAACTCCCCCATCGATCATAATCATCAGACGTAGCCCGGACATGTCATCATGGCGTTGATAGCCGAACTACCACCAACTAAATTCCCTACCATGACTGCTGTTGTTCTGTTCTGTAAGTTTATCTGGGGCGCCGAGGTTATTTGGTAGGACCAGGTTGGACCCATGGCTGCTAGGCCGCCGTAGACTTGGCTGATCCGTGAGGAGTCGACTAGATATATGTACAAAAACACTTAGGAGAAGGAGAATAAGGGGGGAAGGGGTTTGTTTTGTTTGTCCATACCGAGTTTTCCATTTTCGATTACTAGGACGGTTGCTACCCCCCCAAAATTGTTATTGATGGTTTGCTTGTGATAATAGAGAGATGGGATAGAATAGGGTTGAGGGATGGCTTTCTTACTTACATTTTCCGTCGGCCGAGAGTCGATCAGCTACTGTTAGTCCTGGTGTGGGGGGGGGGGGGGGGGGGGGGGGGGGGGGGGGGGGGCGGGGGGAGGGGGGGGGGGGGGGGGGGGGGGGGCGGAGGGGGGGGGGGAGGGGGGGGCGGGGCAAGG